TACATTTTCTGATGCATATTGATGTACTTATGCTATGTAGAAAGTTTGAGCCGATTCAGAGCTTAATTTTTCGAGTTACGGCCTTTTAAAAAAACGAGCCAGTTTTTGAAAAATACCCAAGCCCATGGTTTTTTCCAAAAAATGGCTCCAAAATCACCCCAAATTTTTATTACATTTTCTGATTCATATTGATGTCCTTATGCTATGTAGAAAGTTTGAGCCGATTCCGAGCTCAACTTTTCGAGTTACAGCCATTTTAACGATTCTCTCCATTTATTGCAGTTAATTAATCAAGTTTGTCGTCAGCCCACTGAAGGACTACTATGCGACGCATTGTCAAAGACTAATATTGGGAAGAACAGGTTCCCCTCTAAACTGGACACTCTGCCCTGTACGCTATTCTAGTATATCCTTGTATATTTCAGTATATTATTGTAGATGATATGACTCGTGTGAGGCTTAGGACTGCCAGTGGCACTGGAGACTACATTAATGCTAACCATGTTGATGTAAGTTGATGACATTTCAATATATTCTAGTATATTATTGTATATCCTTGTGCATTCTTGTATATTAGGGTTACAAGCATCGCGGTGCATTCTTGGCGACACAGGCGCCAATGACAGAGACAGTGGAGGACCTGTGGCGCATGGTCTGGGAGCAATGGTCGTCGTCTATTGTGATGCTGTGTAATCTTGAAGAAAATGAGAAGGTACAGTATCCAGCTCTTGTTCTAAAGCAATTTTCCTCTCTCTCTCTCTCTCTCCTCTCCCCCCTCTCTCTTTTAGGAGGTGTGTGCTAAGTATTGGCCTGATAAAGTTGACGAATCAGTGACTTACGGTAAAATGGTCGTCAAACTTGTTTCTGAGGAGAAGAGGCCTCACTACATCATCAGGAAGTTAATGCTTTCTCAAGAGAGCACTTACATCAACGTATCAGCTGTAAGTAGTATACTCTTGTATTTATTTCGTATACTCTTGTGTTTTTTCAGTATACTCTTGTATTTTTAGTATACTCTTGTATTTTTTCAGTATACTCTTGTATACTCCAGTATATTTACAGTATTCTTGTATTTTGTTAGGGTGCTGCTGATCATTTGATGGTGACCCAGTTCCATTATGTTAACTGGGCTGAAGATGAGAAACCGAAAGATGAGACTCCATTGCTGAAACTAATTGATCAGTTGTTACACAATCAGATGAATACTGGGAATAAAGCAATCACAGTGATGTGCAGGTAAATAATAAATATAAATATAATAATAATAATAATAGTAATAATAATGGTAATAATAGGGCTCTCCCCTTTTTGGCCTTGCCTACGCGAGGTATAGGTAGTTGTTGTGTGTGTCTGTCATTCATTCATTCATTCATTCATTCATTCTGTACAACTGAAATTTGTTTTTAATAAACAATAACTTTAGCACAGCGTGTTCTAAGCTCCTAGATCTTTCTTTTTGACGTGGAAAAGTCTTTCTTAACTGTTTTGTGTTGCTCAAATACAAGTGCTAGGTACAGAAGCTTCAAAGTAAGAAAATCGAGTAGTTGGGCCATGTTCCGTTGTGTTGGCACTTTAGAGATAGCTGGTAGCATTTTTCAGTAGATTAGAACATGGCCTTCAAAAATTATGAATAGATTTCTCTAAATCTTACTTGATAAAGAGTTATACTTACTTGAAATTGTTGAGGTCACTCGTTTGTGCAGCGCTAGAGCAACAACTTGCTGGGTTATAGGTACTAAAGTACCTATACTATCTCAAATATACAAAGGCAGCAACTTTTTTTGTCAGCAAGTTTATCATATATTGCTGATTAGTAAAGAAAAAGTGAAGCTTCTTTCTCACATGGTCTTCTTGCTGCCACTCATGGAATGCCACACCTTTCAATCTACATGCATGGGAGGGGCTGGAGCTGCTTGCATGTATGTGCTGCAGTGCTGCTACTTCTGCAGGTATTCAAGAGCAAGTGCAACTGCAGGAAGCTAGTGTTGAGCAGACTCTCTTCATGCTGATAATCAAACAGTTATTGAAGTGCGGGCATGCACCATAGCAGCTATAGGGGCG